AGACAATGGCAAAGAGGCATACGGTCTACTTTTCGCATACCTCAGGACCTCAAGGACTGAGGTCAATAAATATCACAGGTTTCTGCCTCATGGCAACAGAACAACTTTCAATCAAAATGTCCTGGAAACCATGCTCTGATACATATAAAAGGTCTCCTAAATTTCATCCCATTAAATTCTCCCCATTCATTTTCGTTAGGACAATTTATCCTGCCTCCTTTCTTCTGTTTAAAAATCTGTATCTTTGAAATATGGAAGATTCAAGAATTAATTTAGCGTGGTAGAATTAATGTGCCAAGAGCATTAATGAACGTGGGATTCATATATAGGAATTCATGTATAATTCAAGATGGAAATAGGAGAGAAATGAATAAAGAAGATACATATCCTCGGTCAGCTAGGAACTGAAATCTAATGTGTCTAAAAAGCAGCAGAAAGATTGGAGGTTAAGGTTTAATGTATTGATTAAAGTAGATATGAGTGTTCAAATTATGTTCTGGGAAATCTTTGAGAGTTAGGAACCCAGTGTTCTTTCTTTATATTTCAAAGGATTTTATCTATTCTGCCTTTGTTTTAACTGAAGAAACAAAACTTCAAGACAAAAAGTAACATACAGAGTTAAGGAAAACCAAGAAGAAAAACAAAAGCAAATGAAAAAAGACAAAGAAAGGAACTTCACAGTATTAGCATATGAAATATCTGTTATTGCTATTTGTTTTAAGCTTTTAAAAAATCCTGCTTCCTTGATACTCATGCAAGTTTTTTTTTGTTGCTTTATTGAAACCCACATTTAAACAGGGCAAACTGTACATATAATTCTGGGCACAGTTCACGATGCCTGTTTGTCCCCTTTCCAGCCCTGTCTGGCTTAGGACCGGGGTTAGCTTTAGGGTTATACCATCTGCTCTCAGAGGTATCTGCACATCCAATAAGTTCTAGAACGGAAGGCTCCCTGGGGGTTCCAGCCCTGAAGGAGGGTCACCATCAGGGGCTGCAGGACCTTCGTTGGAGCAATATCCCTCCTGAGACTAATCTAGGTTTTAAGGCCCATTAAGTCCTGGCTGTTGGGATGATGGCGTTGGGCACTGAGAGAATGATCATTGAGGGTCTATTGTTTTAATCTGTTCACTGTAATTGGGACTGTTCATTTCATTTGTGAATGAAGTGGCCTATGAGCTTGAGAAAACAGAATAAAAATAAAACATACTAATTTGTGAGATTCTATGGCAGGAGAAATAAAGGGAAAGTTGAGTGGGAGTTCCTAAGAAAAGGAGATACTTAAAGCAAAATTGCTAACAATTGCAATGAGGAAAAAACAAGGTATAGAAGAAGCCAGTGTAGCTTCACAAGCTTAGTGACAAATGTAGCAGACGGAAAGGAAGAGCACAAGTAGAAACCTGGAACTGTAGAGATGTAAAGCTCAGATTGGTGAAGGATACAAAAACAACAAAAGGCCTTTCTCAGATTATGTTTGAAATAAAAGGGAGATAAAAGTTTGCCAGCTGCTCCTACAGATAGCAAATTGTTCTCTCCTCCAACCCCCGCCCTCAACTTGCCCTTGGGGTTGCGGGAAATTATGCAATTTCCCACAACCCCAAGGGCAAGTTGGGCTGAAGAGAAGGTCTGGCTGAAGTCCTCCAGGGAGCATCCATTGGTGAGGATGGACATGAACCCAGCTTTCCGCAGTCTGATTCCAGGCCCTTAACCCACACATGCACTAACTATGATTTCTTGCCATCTGGGAAGCACAGTGGCAGATTGGAAGCCCACTGCTATTTGATGGATGCAACACCTGGTGAGTTCAAAGCAGGGATGGGACATTTGGCCTAACTCATGGAGGAAAAGAGTCACTCCGCAGTGAGATGGGTGGTGACAAATTTGAAGTATAAATAAATAGGACATTTTGCTGGGCAGAGCATCAAAGACTCTGTAGTATTGAGACTGACAAGAGACTACTAAGTCAGCCTAAGAGTATCCTGACAGGGCTGTCTAGCTGCAGGTTATGGCAGCTCTGCCCTTCCCTTCAGTCCATGGGGTGAGTTGTGGCTTCATCCCGGGGTGAATGAGGATTTTGTTACTCCTCCAGATCAGTGCCTGATGAAAAGCTGCCAGCAGGGTTCTTGACTGGCAATATGGGCAGACTTACTTTTGATGAACTGGAACAGAGTGAAGTCTTCCACATCCTGGGGTTTATTTTTAAGCTCCTCCATTACTTCTTTCTTAGTCATATCTGCGATGCTTTTTCGTGAAGCGTCATCCTAGGAACAGGCGAGATGAAAAAGTATGGTCACTCCTGGGGGGCCTATTCCAAGGCAAGGTTTCTAAAAGCCAGGCTTTGCTTTATTGATCAATCATATCCCAAAACCTAGACATACTCAGGGCAACTATATCCGGCCCCTGGACCCTGGTTTCCGTCTATAATATTGCAGCCTATCACTTCCCCCTTTTAACATACAACCCTCCTACTGTTCCTATATAGTTATGCCACCCACTGAACTCACAATTAGTTTTAATTTGGCAATTAACCTGGCTGGTACTAATAATTTCTAAGGGATGGTTGTCTTATTCAGCTCTACACAGAGCTGAGCCAAACCCACTCACAGGTTTACTCCTATCTCAGATTTATATTTCATGGCTGCTTGTACAAAACACAATTAACTTGGCAATGAAATTAATCCATTTGTGGGCGTTGCTCATTCCACTGAATCCTATATCCATCCAAACAGCTGGATTCACACAACCTGCTAAGGCACTTAAACTTAACCAAGGTTAACGCTAGCCAAGCTTAGCAGATTGTATGAATCCAGCTGCTGGTTCTTTAACTGATATGGTTGAGTGCACTGGAAACAAAAAGCTCCTTGTAGCTGATAAAATAGATTCTAGTCAATCAAGTGCATGACATAATAAATGTGTTAATTCTTAAGCTTCTTGGATGCTTTGGTGATAACAAATAGTTATACTTTCAGATTTTTAAATGATTTGATTATTCCGTAACTTCCTCAAGGCTGGCTCAGTTCTCTTCCTGTCTTTTTGTTTTGAGGATGAAGAGG